AGACCCACCTTCCATTTACTGAATGAAAATCTTAATTTAACAAGGTAAGAGGTGATCTATAAAATGATAAAAAGTATGTTTCAGGTATTGCTTATTTCTGATAAATAGATTTTTTTTTCAAATGAGGCCATTTGAAGAAAATTTCAAATGAAAGCCATATGTTGAAAACACACTTAAATTTAGGTTCTAATTCATGAAACATGACGTTTGAAAACATTGTGAAGAATGTAAAGATTGATCAATATAATTATCCGTCCATCAAATACCTTGGTATTTAAATGGAGTCAAGCTTGGAAGAAGCCTTAATAATTGTCAATGTGAACAAGTAAATTAAAAATGTGTGAACTTGTTTTAGAGATTATTGGACTTCAATTCATCATTTCAGCATGCTTTGGGCATGTTGCTCACCCTTGCAATCTGCCATTAGAATATTGTGCCTGGAGAGTAACTGTCCTTCAGCCTTGACCACAGATAAATGCACTCCATAGACTAAAGACAAGCTAAGTTCCCTGCAGCACAACCATCCGGCTGATCTGCCTTGACCAGCTAGATGATAATTACCATGAATGCTTAGAAAGGAAAATAAATACTTATTTTATTGAGAGGCTGAGTTTTAAGTAGTTGATTACCAGTTATTACAAAACTAACCAATACAGTATTTACATGTTAATTCTTTTTATATAAATTTTATTAAAATTCATGACATAAATATAAATGTTTATTAATCTATTATAAGGATACTAAGACAAAATTTTAAAAGAAATTAAAACTGAATAATATAGCAATACAAACTGCAAATTAAATATACCATATTTATGAAATATGTGATGTTAAAGTTTATATAACATACATATAAGTGCATGTATATTTATTGCAAAAAATTTCCAGTTGCAGATGCTTACTCTATACATAGCCATATCTAAATAAGGCTATTGAACTATGTGTATGTTTATATGTATAAAACAACATATTTTATGTACAAAATTTTTATATAAATTAAAATGATTCCAATTACTCTCTTTCAAAAAAACTGTTGTCCTGGACCAGATACATAGTCCCTACTCTAGCTACAGATATAAATAATTTTTATTTATTTATTTGTTTATTTATTTATATTTTAAAGACGTGGGGTACAATTCAATGTTAGGTATACAAATTAAATATTATTTATTATCTTTATTTCTAAATCTCTCATCAAATTTGTTTTTATGCCTTAAAATATATTTGTACTCAGTGGAGGTACAAATTATACAAATGGAGATTTTTTTTCTAATGTTAAGAATTAAATCACTGCATGATGTGAAAATCCCTATAGTGTAGAGGTCCACTATGATGCTATGTTCATCTTAGAATTGAATGCTGGATGAATGTCACATTACTACCATCATTAATGATACCCCGGAGACTGGAAATAATAACAGTGTGTAATGACAAGGTTACATCACTGGTCACCTTGAAAGGAGATATCAGCAATTCAATGACATTGACTATTGGCTAGAACAGATCATAAAACCTCAGAGGAAACAAAACAGAAGCATTGTTAACAAAGTAGATTTAGAAGAGCTGTGACTAGACCTTTGAAAATGAACCAGGACATAAAAAATGGTCCTCAAGTGAATATTTATCTAAATTCCATTGCTGAGCATGTGGCTCTTAATAATTAAGATGCTCCAACACAGGGACTCCAGTCTGTCACCTTTCCCAGCTTTCCCAGGAAGTTTCACGAACCACTTTGCTGGAGGTGAATGCATGAACTCAGCAATATGAGTTTCATCAAATGAGGCTCAGACGACTACTGGCTCTTCTGAGCATACCAGTTTCCTGAAGAAAAATCCCTCCTGAACCCCTAATATAATACCACACATCAGGGATCAGACCAACAATTGGGGTCATGTGATTGCTGTGAACCTCACCCAGAATGTGGAAGGCAGTAATGGTTTCCCTGTATATGTTTGTCTTTCTTGTCAGGCATGTTTCTGCCAGAAACATTACTTGAGGGTTTTCTGAGTGTTTTAATCAAAGTCAAGAAATTCTTACATAGTATAGCTCCAAACATATTTAATTAATTATACCAAAAGTAGTGAAATAATTTTTTGCTTAATTATTGCCTAAAAACAAACTCATGATCTTATTATGAACACAAGTGCAATTGTTCTTATGAAAAATAAAAAAATCTATTATCATTCAAGCAAATCTGTCACAGAAATCCTTGAAATGTTCAATCAGTGTCTCCCCAGTTGTAGTAGAGGCTCTTATCCACTATCAGATATGATACAGTTATTTTCTCATAAAAAGATATTTTTAAAATAAAATTATATAAAAGATATTTGTATCTGAGAAATTAGGGGTAAGCCCATTATTTTCATCATGTCTACTGAAAAGATAAAAATTTCTGTATTTAACTAAGATTTTGGGTTTTATGACTGACAGTTATTACTCCAAAGGATTGGTATGATAATTCTTCCATTAAACTGGGAGAAATGACAAACATGAGCATTTAGATGTCATTGCTACTAGATAAATTGTCAACAGAGGATGTTATAATGTTGGCTGGGGTCATATATCTTGATAATCACAGGGAAATAGAATTCCATCTACATTTTCAGACTGGAAATAGACAATATGCTGAACCAAGAGAAACCATGAATGTTTGTATCTGCTGCCATTTCCAATGGTAAAACTTAAAAGAGACTTCAGAATGAAGCATTGAGTAACAGAAGTGAAGCCTCAACCCTCCCCAAAATAAATACAATCATATGTTATACCATGTTGTACCAACAGTAATGTACCAATATTGTAGGTATCAGTAATAGACCTGCAGATGAGATATTGACTTATAATATAGATACATAGTATGCAAGGGGGAATCCCACAAAAAATTTATTCATAAAAATTTCATATTGATTCTTACATGCATAAACATCAGTCACCCTCAAAGTGGTATCTGTTTGATGAAATACACATATTGAGATGCATTTTCCACTGCTTAAAATTGATTTTTAAATTGTCAACTTTAATGCTTTTTAGTGCTTCCGACATTTTTTTTTCACCTCTTCCACATTGGTAAAACACTTCCCTTTAATGACGTTTATCATCCAGGTAAACGAACGGCAACAAAAAAAAGTCACTGGGGCTAGATTGTGTGAAAAGGAAGGTGAGGCACATGGATCATATCACTTTTGATCAAAAGCAGATGAACACACAGTGCAGTGTTGGTAGATGTGCTTGCAAATCACCCACCATGAACAGACAAATGTGTTGAAAGAATCTCCAACAGCAACAACAAAAAAATAATTGAATCTGAACATAGTCTCTCACAACAACGCGAGCTGGTACACTTATGCCCATGGGTTCCTAGAACACTTACCTAAAGGAGCAAGACTGTACTGCAAGGGACCCTCCCTCTAAAAAATAACTCAGCTTTTGGGGGTCACCCCTTGTATACAGATATACCAATATAATCAATATCCAAAATATTACATATTTAATAAATTATGTTTATATAAAATGTACATAAGTATTTATCAGCATGTGTTCCTTTTTGTCATAATCAGAACAGAGTCTGGCTGAGTAGATACATTTACTGACCTTCCCTTTTTGCTGAGGGGGGACATTTGCTGACCCTCTCTTTTTGCCTAGTGGAGACATTTACTGACTCTTCCTTTTTTACTACAGCAGCATTCAAGCCATTCAGGAATGGTAAGGACAGAGCTGAGAACAGCTGGCTTCAGAATTGGAAGCTCAGCCCTAAAGCCCTGATCTCTCAGACTTTCACCATGGCCGTGGGCTCTGGGCTTGGTGCAGAGCCTGTGGATGTGTAAGCAGTTTTCTTCTCTCCTGCCAAGAAGCCCAGTGGATAGGGCCTTTGGTTCCTCTCAAGTCTTCAGCAACATAGCTCAGGAAAGCCATTACTTCCTACACAGCTCATGACCAGAGCCTGGCAGCTCTCGGGCAGTGCAAACCTGACCGTAGCCCTGTGTTGAGGACCCTATTCCTAATATCTTCCCATTTATTCCAGAACCTGAAAACCTGTCCTGGCCTTAAATTCACAGGACACATTTACACCACTGCTAATGTTAGCTTTACCCCCTAGGAAATTAGAAATTAGGCTTTATCATCCTACCCAGAGTCAGGTTTGTACTAAACCTCACAAGATCAAGATGCCCTTGGGATCTCTCTTCTCCATTCCATATAATTTAGACACACAGTGAGATTTAAACATGATGAAGCTCTTGTCCTCCTCAACAGCATCTCTCTCTTTCTCATTATATTTGGCACCAGCATTGACCATGCATTGTAAGGATTGGGAACCTATTCCAGTCCACGGCAGGAGGAAGAATTAGGAGCACTAGTGATCATCTACCCAATGTGATAAAGGGGAAGTAAGGGGTGGGCAGGACTTCTCAGAATAATTTTGATCCTTTATAAATGAGGGGAAGGGGAGAGATTTTCCCAGAACTTCCTCCTGGAAAAATTATGAACATGGTTCTGAGAAGACTTTTTTTTTTCCATGTCAAAAATGGAAACAATCTCACACTCAGAGAGATGTTGCTAGTGCAACATACATGATTTTTACTTCCAACAAGTTCATTTGAGAGTAATATAAAGACCTGATAGCAAACCCCATCTCAAATTTTATCATGCATTCCCTACACACAAGGACATTCTTCTACATAATGCAAATACAACCATAAAATACATTATTCCTTCTAGTCCTTACATTCAATTTACATTTTGCCAATTATCCCCTAAATATCCTTTGTAACAATAGGTCATCTAGAGAGAAATATTTTCTCTGCAGGCAAATTTGTGCTGCCCTTGTCTTTCATGAGACACTGCACCTGTGCTGAGTTACTGAGATGACCCAGTCCTGCAGCTATGCCTAGTCTGCCCCATTCCCTGATGATTTGCATGTTTCTGGAGCACAGTCCACTACCCTGAAGACTTATTAATAGGCTGGTCATACCCTGTGCAGGAGTCAGTCCCAGTCAAGACACAGCATGGATATGAAAGCTCCTGCTCAGCTTCTGGGGCTCCTGCTGATCTGGCTTCCAGGTAAGGAGGGAGAACTCTAGCAATTGACTGAGCTAGTGTGGTGACTACTTATAAGCCCTCTTATAGCATGATTAATTGTGTGGATTTTTTTTTATGTTTTCAATCTCAGATGCCAGGTGTGACATCCAGATGACCCAGTCTCCATCCTCCCTCTCGGCTTCTCTAGGAGACAGAGTCACCATCACTTGCTGGGCAAGTCAGGGTATTAGCAATGAGTTATCCTGGTATCAGCAGAAACCAGGAAAAGGCCCTAAGCTCTTGATCTATGATGCAACCAGATTGCATTCAGGGGTCCCATCATGGTTCAGTGGCAGTGGACGTGGGACGGATTTCAGTCTCACCGTTAGCAGTCTGCAGCCTGAAGATGTTGCAACTTATTACTGTCGACAGGATGACAGTATTCCTCCTATAGTGTTACGAGGCATGACAAAAACCACCCAGATATGTGAGGCTGAACTGCACCAGATGCCTTTCTGGTGCCTCCATCTGCTGTGTCAGGTTTTGAATGTCATTGGTAGATTTTGTTAGAAGAAGTCCTGAAAGCTCCTGTGCACCCTCACTCTCTTTCCTCCTCCTCAGCCCCAGCAGCACAGACATAACAATGCCTCTCATGATTTAAGAAGTAAAATATTAGTCCAGTTTACAAGTCTGTATTATGGGATAATTGAAATTCATGAAGCCATTCTAGGTTTTCAAAGCAGAAATTGTGATAATTCACAGAATTTAAATATAACCACAACATTTCAAACTTTAGCGTATGTTAACCATTTAAGCCAGGGGATTCTCTGGTGTTTCAGAAACCAGACTGCACCTGCCCTGAAGGTATGGGCTGCCTAATCACATGGTCCTCAGATCTGTCTAGGAAGGTCAGGGATAGGGATGCTGGGATGGGGATGCTGATGCTCTCGGGTGAGGTAGTACCTCTCTAGGTGATCCTCCACTCCGCACTTTAGACTTTGTGTCCCCCTACTAGTGCCAATGAATATTTAATCATCTCATAAATTCCAAATTTCATAGGAGGCCCCCCTCATTGAACAATTGTACAGGAATTCAGAGAAGGAACATGGGTTTGGAAAAATATGCTTCTGCAAGTGAATGTGATAATGGGGAATTGACAGCTGACAGCCTAGTATGGTCACTTTTTCCACAAGGCTCAGCATTTTATCAGTTAGAGTTAACCACAGAATACAATTGAATGTACTTTCAAGGATTACCAGCAAGTCTGAAATATATCATGAAATGACATTTAGTCACAGTAAACCACCACCACCAACACATGGAAATTTTTTAAACTATATACCAATAATTTGACAAACAAATGAATGAATTTTCTTGTTCAAATGACAACAATAACAAAGATAAACATAAATATACCAATTTTCCTTAATGAGAGGGATGTTTATCCAGGAGACAACAACACCTTCAATGTTATCTAAAAGCATGATACATATGCTAAATAGCAGACCCATCTTACATTTGCAGAATGAGAATATTTATTTAACAGGGTAATAGGTGATCTATAGAATGTTTAAGAAGTTATGACTTAGTGATATCTTTTTTATCTAAAGGAAATAATTTTTCCCCAATTAAGCTATTGAAGAAAAATTTTAATTGAAAGTCACATGTTCAAGACACATCCAGCTTTATTTTCTGTTCAATTCAACATTTTATTTGTAAACATTTCGAATATTCTAAAGACTGATAAATATAGCTATCTGTCTTTTAAATACCTTGAAATCTAAATCTAGTAAAGGCTTTTTAAAAAAGGAAAATTTAGTAATTTCCATGGCAAAAGAATACATTATATTTGTATGTACCTCTGTTAGTGATTATTGGACCTTATTCCCCAATTTAGCTTGATTTGGGGAATTTGTTCATTCCTGCATCTGTTATTAAAAAGCAGTGCCTAGAGAGTCCCTGACCTTCAGCCTTGGTCTCAGATAATGCAGTTCATGGGCTGGAGACAAGCTCAGTGCCCTGCAGCACAATGATCTGGCTGAACCCTGCCTTGATCAGTCAGATGATTGTTAGCATGAACATCTAGAAACATGAAAATAAAGACTTAGTGTAAAATGATATTGAGTTTTAAGTGGTTGGTTACCAATCATTATTGTATAAAAACTGACTAATACAGAATTTGCACACTCATCTTTAAAGATAGATACATTTTATAAAAATTGATGGCATAAATACAAATATTCATTATTCTACTTATGAAGATACAAAGACAAAAATTTAAAAGAAATTAAAACCCAATGATATACCACTAAAGCACTGAAATTTACCTTATTTATGGAATATATACATGTACAAGGGTATATAACATTCATATTGGGGAATTTTGGCAAGATGGTGACAGAAAAGGTTGGACTGTGAGAGTCTCTGTGAAAGCGAGTGTCCATAAAGACTCCCGCTTTCTCCCAGTTGGCTGCTGATCCTGCCGCAGCCAGCCAGCTCTTCCAACAGCCACACAGGACTGTGGGCTGGAGGAAACTGGCCCCACTTACTGCTTTGCCACCACTGCCACTGGCCCTTCCCCCACAAGGAATGGGCTTTGGCTCCTGGCCCGTGGAGCTCCCGGCTCTCTCCCTGACTATAACACCCCACATGGCCCCAAAACACCCCGCACCAGGCAGACCTGTAGTGCCCGGCTGTCTGGCACTCTGTCTCTCCTGGCTTAATCCATGGTCACCCAGGAACAGAGATCAGCTAGAGTCTTGAGACCAGGCAGAGACCTACATTGCCCTGCCCTGCTTCGCCCAGCCTCCAAATTGGGACCTAAGGTGGCTGCTGCTCCCACCACTGCCAGCTTTCTCTTCCCACCACAGCCCCCTCCATGGCCCTTGACTCCCAGCCCCATGGAACTCTGAGCTCCCTCCCCAGTAGCACTGCCCCACCCTGCCCTGAGCTGCCCTGCACCAGGCTGACCTGCAGTGCCCTGACTCACCTCCCCTGGCTCAGCCCTGGCAGCCCAGAGACCAGAGATCTGCTGGAGCCCCAAGAACAGGCATAGTGATGCATTGCCACACCCAGCTCTGCCCAGTCTCCAAATTGGGACCTAAAGTGGCTGCTGCTCCTGCCACTGCCTGCCCATTGTTCAGTCAGTTGTGCAGGCCTGCAGGCAGGAGGACTCTGGCCCCACATACTGTTCTGCTGCTGCAACTGCCACTGTACCCCCTCTGGGGGACCTTTGGCTCTAAGCCCCTCCAAGCTCCCTCCCCCTCCTGGGCTGCACCACCCAACCCCATGCTGAGCCATACTGCACCAGGCTGACCTGCAGTGCCTGACTGTCTCACACTCTACCTCCCCCAGCTGGGTCCCCAGCAGCCAAGGAACCAGAGATCAGCTGGAGCCTTAAGACCACACAGAGACCTTCATTGCCCTGCCCAGCTCCGCCCAACTCTGCCCATTCTCCAACTTGGGACCTAACACTTCATGTTTGTGTAGGGGATTATTACCTCACTAAGGATGTGGGTTGGCTTGTGTGTCTGTATGATTGTCTGCATGTTTTAGTTTCTTTTATTATTTTCTGTCTGTATGTCTCTTTTCATTTGTTGGTCAGTATATTTGTCTATTTTACCTCTTACTCTTCTCTCTCTCCACCTTACTCTTGCCCTCCTCCTTCCCTATTCCATTCTTTTCCTTTTTCTTACCACCTTCTGCTTTCAGGGAACAAACATATACCCTCACTGCATGAGTAGATTGCAAGGCAGTGGGAAATGGGTGTCAGGGTATCCATACACCTGTTGGTGGCTACTGGTATGTGCAGATATATTTTGAATCACAGGGTCCTCCTAAATTGAATCTCAAACTGGAAAAAAGTATATCCCTCAACCCACAGTCCAGCTTCAGTATCGAACAAGTTTAGAGGATTCACACATAAGGAAGAATAGGAGACCGAGCAAACAGAAGTAAAAGCAACATGGATAAAAGATCATGGGGTAGCAACATATTGTCTCCAAGAGACTCATCTCACAAGAAAGGACAATCACAGACTCAAAGTAAGAGGATGGGAAACAAAATTTCAGGTGAATGGAACACAAAAGAAAAGAGGAGTTGCAAACTTAGTTTCAGACAGAAAACATTTTAAACTATCAAAAATGAAAAAAGATAAAAAGGTCATTACATAATGATTAAAGGTTCAATATATCATGAAGAAATATCCATCCTAAACATATATGCACCCAACATAGGAGCACCTACTTTCATAAAGCAGCTTTTAGGCAAACTTAAAAAAGATATTGACTTCAACACAATAATAACTGGGGACTTTAATACCCACTCACAACCCTAGACAGATCATCATTACAAAAACTCAGCAAGGAGATCAAGAACCTCAGTGTGACTCTTGACCAAATGGACTTAATTGACACCTACAGAACACTCCATCCAACGACCATAGAGTATACATTGTACCCTTCACCACATGGATCATACTCTAAGATCAACCACATCCTTGGCCATAAATAAAGCATAAACAAATTTCATAAGATTGAAATTTTGCCATGCACATTCTCAGACCACATTGGAATAAAAATAATTATCAACACCAACAAGTTTCCACCAAAACCCACAAAGACATGAACACTAAATAGCATGATGATAAGCAACCACTGGGTCAACAGAGAAACCAAAACAGAGATTAAAAGATACCTTGAAACAAATGAAAATGAAGAAACATCTACCAGAATCTCTGGGATGCCATGAAAGCAGTAATAAGAGGGGAATTCATATCTCTACAAATGAACATGAAGAAAATGGAAAGATCACAAGTAAATAGCCAAAAAGTCACCTAAGGAAGCTAGAAAAGTAAGATTATCAACACCCTAACTTCAGCAGAAGAATCCAGATCACCAAATTAAAAGCCCAAATCTGGGATATAGAAGACAAAAAGATAGTACAAAAATGACTGAAACAAAAAACTGGTTCTTTGAAAGGATAAACAAGATTGATGGTTCCCTAGACTGATTAAGAAAAAGAGAGAAAAAGCCCAAATAAACACAATCAGAAACACAAAAGATGAAGTCACATCTGACCCTGAAGAAATACAAAAGACTATCAGAAGCTACTATGTATACTTATATGGTAACAAACTTGAAAACATAAAGGAAATGGAGGACTTTATGACATCACACAACCTCCCTAGGCTGAAACAAGAAAAAATTGAGACCCTAAGTAGACCAATAACAATCAAGAAAATAGACTATGTCATAAGAAAACTACCTACAAATAAAAGCCCTGGACCAGATGATTTTCCAGTAGAACTCTACAAGATATGCAAGGAGGAACTGAAACCAATCCTATTGAAAGTATTTCAGGCAATTGAGAAAGATGGAACTCTCCCAAAATCATTTTATGAGGCTAACATCATATTGATACCCAAGGCAGGTAAATATCCAACAAAGAATTAGAGCTACAGGCCAATATCCCTGATGAGCATAGATGCTAAAATTCCCAACAAGCTCCTAACAAACCATATTCAAAAACACATATCAAAAATCACCAGCCATGACCAAGTAGGCTTCATC